TTGCTTGGAGGTGTGTGAGGGGTGGCGGGGTGTCGCAAGGCTGGAATTGGAATTTCTTTGTTTATGTGTAAGAACTTGAATTTGACTTGGTATTAGCCTCTTGCAATGCCCTAAAGAGCAGCACGTAGATTAGAAGGAAAGGCAGAACTGGAAGGCAATCAGGTGTGTTGCATTCATCTAAGCTGACAGGGAATAGGCTGAATAAAGAGAGAGAAGAGTGAATCAGTCTCCTGCTGCTCTTTAACTATCCAATAAGCAAGATGAGGGTAGAGAGAGAGGACACCAGTGTATCCCTTTAGCAGTCAGCAGCTGTAATAGAGAACCTGGTAGAGAAAGTGTAACTACTTAGGCAGGTAGAACAGATCTCAGATATATATTTGATCTTGTATTTAGCTGTTTGCTCTGTAGAGTTCAGCTTTAATGTCAAAAGTGCCATTCAGTAGATGGAGGTTGGTGAGTTACCCTTGACTTCTTTTGATTTGGATTCTACAACAGTAAGATCTTCCTGCTATAGTTTGCAATTCATCCTTTTGCATTTTCGATGATATAAAATAAATAGCATTTTCAACAAGGAGAATGGGACCCCTTCATGATGGTCACACAGGTGAGCAAACTCTTTAAAGTATTCTTCTCTGCCTTGGAACAAGATTCTCCTATTTATAATTTAGACTAATTATGTATGCAGGGGTGGCATCACCTAAGGACTTATCAGACTCAAGCACAGGCCGCAACTATGCTAACATGCATTTTTAAAAAGATTAAAGGCCACAAAAAACAAACAAACATTCCAAACGTACCTGCTCTGTGTAATGGCTTTGCACAGAGCAGCCTCTATTCTCTTCTTTTCTGGTTTTCTACCAGTGCTCCTGGCCCCTACCTACTGCCCAGTGCCCTCTCAGCAAGCAGCTTGCTATAGGGGCACCCAAGCGGGCTGGCTCCCGGGTCACTGCTCTGCATGTCCATTAACTTCCAGAGCCTCCTCTCTCCTTATTGGCTCACTGGCTGTGAATGACAATAGTGGGAGCCAATTGCTCCCTCTACTCTCTCAGCCAATGAGGAGGAAGAGTACCCAAAGAGCTGAGGCTCTCGTGCACATCGCTGGATTGCAGTGGGGCTCAGGTAAGTATTAGGGGGGCTGAGAGGGCTGCTGTACACAGAAGGTTTTTCTGAAAAACCCTTGAGCCTTTACAGCAACTTTAAATCACTGTTCATTACTAGCTTATAAATCTACAGTTTTTGGGTAAAAGTATTGGGAAAGGAATCACAAAGTCCCATTAGAATACCAACATCAATAAGTGAATATAGCTCCTGGCCTAGGAGAAGACTGACTCACTGGGGACCTGTTCACAATATAATGGTGAGTTAAAGGAAGCACATTGATGCACTTTTTTTCACATGTTACCTTAAGGCAACCTCTTCTGTGTGAATGGGCTATTAAAGTAGAACTAAAGGCAATTTTTGTTCATTTGGGATAGAGTAATGGAGGGTTATAACCCCTGTCATCCCATCGGGAAGACTTCCTTTAACTTCCTTTTCTATGGCCAAAAAAGAAAATGAGAGGAAATCCCTCCAAAGCAAGGGGATCCCAGGGCATTACCAGGGTCACCAAATCTAGTGTCCCCATTGGATGATTTCCCCTCTATTACTGTTCTGGAGTAAACCCTTAATTTGGAATTTTTTTTTTTTTAACTTTTACTTTTGATGATAACCGTAAACAGGACAAACAGGGAGAATCTCCATAATGGGGGGGGTAGAAAGCAATGGGAAGCTGACAGGTGTTCTGATCCCTCTCCACTCTATCCAAAATGAAAGAAAAAGTTTTGCTTTTAGTTACACTTTAATACAGCTCCGTGAACAAAAAAAATTCCACCTGCACTACTTTTGGAAACACAGAGCACAGCACATCAACACACATGCTTTGGAGTAGTGTGTGGTTAAACACACATTACCATGCATTCCAACAAAGCCATAGTGTGAATCCACCATGAGCAGTACCTGACAAGTGATCACAGTAGTTGTCTGTAATTCAGTCCAAGCTGGCAGGACTCAGTAGCTGGAGAGTCATGCATAGAGATAAACTTTTCCACAATGTGTAAAGTGTTGGTGGTTTGTGTGTCTTCAGTTCTTGTCATTGCACACTGTAATGGCTTCCCAGGTGAGAGGGTAGATTAGGCAGAAAGCAAAGGTGCAGCATAGTGTGGTGCAGCCCATGTATAAAGTGGTTTTAAAGGCTCAAGGGTTTTTACCGTCATGCACTCTGTGGTACAAATCCTTGTGGTGCAGCAGCCCCCCCCAGCTCCCCCTAATACTTACCTGAGCCCCATTGTGACTCAGAGATGAGCACGAGAGCCTCTGCTCTCTGGGGACTCTCCCTCCTCATTGGCTGAGACAAACAGTGGGAGCGATTGCCATTGGCTCCTGCAGCTGCAATCACAGCCAGTGAGGAGAGAGGGGGTAGGGCCGAGCTATGGCTCTGTGTGTGAACGTACACACAGAGCAATGGCTGGGGAGCGAACCTGCTCGGGTGTCCCCATAGCAAACTGCTTCCTGTGGGGGCATTGGACAGAAGGGAGGGGCCAGGAGCACCAGCAGGGGACCCGACAAGAAGAGGATCATTTGCTATTTTGTTTTTAAATTGCCATTAATATAACTTTAAACAAAATCCATACTCATAAAATACACATTCCACTGTTGATGAACCCTGCTTCTTTAACTCTTGCTTTGAGTAACCTGGCTGTTCTGAAGTTCCAAAGAATGAAGGGGGGGGGGGGGGCAGTTTGTAGTTATATCTTTATGTTTGTCCTTTTGTCTGATTGTATTTTTGGTGAAAGATTTTAAAGATTTTACCCATTTTTCAATTAAATGTATGTGACTTGTTGTTCTTCATAGGAATTGCTGGACTATGTACCCAGCAGGACATTTTTTTTCTTCCTGTGAATCTTCAGGGGTTGAGTCTGAAGCATGGTTTTTATGGTAGCTTTGTACACGGCTCCAAAAAATGAAAGGAACACTTTGAAAACACATCAGATCTCAATGGTGAAAACTATCATGCTGCATATCTATACTGATATGTACTGGGTAATGTGTTAGGAATGTAAGGATGCCCATCGTTTGATGGAAATTAAAATTATCAACGTACAGTGGATTGATGTCAAAGACACCCCAAAAATCAAAGAGAAAGAATGATGCAGCAGGCTAGTCAAGTTTGCTGAAATTTCATAGCAGCAACTCAAAATGATATTCAGTAGTTGGTATGTCTCCCATGTGCTTGTATGCATGCATGACAACATCGGGGCATGCTCCCAGATGGTGTCCTATATCCCAGAGGTGACATTCTATTGGATTTAGGTCAGGTGAGCCCGGGGGCCATTTAATGGTATCAATTCCTTCATCCTCCAGGAACTGCCTGCATACTCTCGCCACATAAGGTGGAGCATTGTCCTGCACCAGGAGGAACCCAGGATCCACTGCACCAGCATAGGGTTTGACAACGCGTCCAAGGATTTCATCTTGATACCTAATGGCAGTCAGGGTGCCATTGACTAACCTATAGAGGTCTGTGCGTCCCTGAATGGATATGCCTCTCCAGATCATCACTGACCCACCACCAAAAACTGCCATGTTGAATGATGTTTCAGGCAGCATAACTTTCTCCACAGCATCTCCAGACCCTTTCACATCTGTCACATGTGCTCAGGGTGAACCTGCTCTCATCTGTGTAAAGCACAGGGTGCCAGTGGCGGACTTGCCAATTCTGATGTTCAATGGCAAATGCCAATCGAGCTCTATGGTGCTCGGCAGTGAGCACAGGGCCCACTAGAAGATGTCAGGCCCTCAGGCCACCCTCATGAAGTCTGTTTCTGATTGTTTGGTCTGAGACATTCACACCAGTGGCCTGCTGAAGGTCAAATTGTAGGGCTCTGGCAATGCTCATCCTGTTCCTCCTTGCACAAAAGAGCAGATACCGGTCCTGCTGATGGGTTAAGGACCTTCTGCGGCTCTGTCTAGCACTCCTAGAGTAACTTCCTGTCTCCTGGAATCTCCTCCATGCTTTTGAGACTATGCTGGGAGACAGAGCAAACCTTCTGGCAATAGCACATATTGATGTGCCATCCTGGAGGAATTGGACTTGCCTGTGTAATCTCTGTAGGGTCCAGGTATCGCCTCATGCTACCAGTAGTGACACTGACCCTAATCAAATGCAAAACTAGTGAAAAAGTCAGAAAAGATGAGTAAGGAAAAAAATGTCAGTGGCCTCCACCTGTAAAACCATTCCTGTTTTGGGAATCGTCTCATTGTTGCCCATCTAGTGCACTTGTTGTTAATTTCATTAACACCAAAGCAGTTGAAACTGAATAACAACCCCCTCTGCTACTTGACTAACCAGGTAAATATCCCTGGAGTTTAATTGACTTGATGCTAAATTCTGATTAAAAATGTTCCTTCACTTTTTTGAGCAGTTTTTTTTTTAATAATTACCAGTGACTCCCTTTGGTATTTATATAAATTTACAAGTTGGGACCTTGAGGATTTTTCCATACTATTAGCATGTCCTAGTATGAGGTTAACAATGGCAGCAACTTCTTTTATGGCAGGGCTGCCAGTTTGCTCAATAGTTCTCTGCTCATAGAGTGACTGGGGGAGATTTACTAAAACTGCATGGTGAAAAATCTGGTGCAGCTCTGCATAGAAACTAATCATCTTCCAGATTTTTTTTTATCAAAGCTTCACTGAACAAGGTGAACATAGAAGCTGATTCTGAGTGTACCAATTTTAGTAAATGTACCCCATAATGCCATCAGTCTCACACAGGGGTGGACTGACAACTCATGGGGCAATAGGGGATCATGGGGCCCCTGTGTCCTCGCCCACACTCAAAACCACACCCAAAAAAGCCTATGAAAGGTACCAGGGGCATCTCATGGGGCCCCCTACTGACCCCGGGCCCTCGGGCGGTGCCCGAGCTCCCAAATGGTCAGTCCGCCCCTGGTCTCACACATATATTCCATCTCTCTGCAAGTCCGTTAGGACATACAGGTCTGGCAGATCCTATATCATCTATCCTCGTTTAGCAGGCATGGATAGCCTACAGCTCCTGTTAAACTATAACACTCAGCATACCCTGCCAGACAGTGACTGGGTGATTGTAACTCCCCAACAGCTGTATAACCACTTGCTGCATAATCCTACTTAGAAGCTTTACTTTGGCATCTCTGTAACAGACTGACTTGGTGTTAAAGTTTGTTCACCTGTGCTTTGGTGACACGTCCATCATCTGTCATCCTATAGGACCAGTTTCCCTTATAGGGTAATACAGTGCCTTACCTATCTGCCTTGCTGACACAGTGACAGATTTCATTAACTATTTCAAGATCTAGAAATGTGTGTATCCATAATGCTATTATATATAACTGAAATGTACTCAAACATTTAGTTAGAATATTAACTTTTTAAATAAAAGTTGAGTGTTACGAGACTGAATGCGTGGGAAATTGCCAAAGACTGTCAGAAAGTGAATACAAGTAGAGTGGTAGATTCCATGGTATGATATACTTATTATAAATAACCCTGCAGGAATTTACCATGAATTCAGATGAAAAGAATGCGTGGGGTATTGCAAAGGAAAAATGACAAAATGTTATATTTATATCGTAAGAAAATAATGTTACTCCTAGAGCTATATGTATGTAAAAAAAAAAGATTGAGAAAACAAAATGTTGTACCACAGAATTTCTCAGGTGTCACTTGTCCTTAATAAAGATAATATAAATGATCTAAAATATACATTTTTATCCTCAACATCAATATTAACCACACACATGCAATACAAGCAGCCATGAGGCTGTTGTGATATCCGATAATACAAGGAATAATGCAACATATGCACCCATACATGAAATCTTTACATTTCACTATATACCATATACATTCTGTGTAACTGAAAAGCAAATGCTTTTCCTTCCAAGGTTAGTGTAATAAATAGTGGAATGGCAGTAGCATTTTGATGTATTTCTCCTAACTCTTTAGAAGTCTGCTTCATCAGAAAATATGGACGAGCATCTGAAGATGATATAACCATAATGCAATGCAACAACAAATTTTGCACAAAGCATTATGCAGGCAAGCAAGCAAGGGAGAAGCATTGGCTCCCGCTGCTGGTAATCAAATCCTGTGAACAGAGAGCAGGGGGAGGGTCCAAGCTGGGTTGTGAGTGTCTATTGATGCACACAGCCCTTATAAGGAGCATGCCAGCATGTGCACCTCCATAGGAAGCTGCATGAAAAAGAGGAGGAGCCAAGAGTGCTGGCTGGGGACCCGGAGAAGGTGGTTCAGGGCTGCTCTGTGCAATATCATTGCACAGAGCATATAGGCATAACACATTTGTTATTTTTAAAAAAATTTAGCCTTTACAACTACTGTAATTATCAGCATATTCTGGAAGGAACAGCATATTATGCTAAATAATACAGAATTTAATGTATATGTTATATAGTGGATGGTGAAGGGTAGATGCATGGATGCATATGTTGGATTGTATTTGTTTCAGGGGTCTCTATACTACACACTGGCCACACCCATCCCTCTACAAGATTTTTTCTGTCCCACTGCAACTCTGTCTGTGTAATATGGAGAACAGTGCATCCACTGTCACCCGACCATGATCCTCCCCCAGTTCTGAGCGAAGAGTCCCCCTTGCTGTGGTTGGTTGCTATGACTGCTTACCTCCTGGAAACTGATCACATGATTGCCCCATCCCAAACATCTGATGTGCACTCCTAGATGTATGAAGAATTTCCTGGATGTAAAAGGGGCTTTTCTAAGCACTTGTGGATGAAAGGGATGACTTATTCATTAATTTAAGAGTTTGAAGACCCCTGATCTTTTGATAGCACAACACCCCTATGTGAGCATATATTTTATGTATGTGTTTTAATATTGATATTGAGAACAAAAATTGATGTTATAATATTTAATGTTATTATTTGTCAAAGACAAGTGACACCTTAAATATCTACGGTAGTGGTAGTACATTTTGTCTCCTCTATATTCTGCTATATTGGTATGTGAAAATTCATAAGACGAGCTTTGCTGAATGAAGCAGAAGCCAAATCATGATATCAGATTAAGATTGGAAGGAACTGTCGCCAGGGACTGAGCTTCCATTGGGCCTTATAGCTGTATTTGTTCTAGGGCTTCTTTTTAAAACCTAATAAACTATTCTGCAAAAAATAAATAATAATAATAAAAAAAATAATAATAAAATATTGAAAAGAGCAATTCTTGACTACCTCAGACCTAGAGAGGGATGATGTCATTTCTGGCTTTGTGCGGGGCATTGAACACATTTGACAGAGCTGGAATAACACTCAAAGTTCTCACATTTCCCATCATGGCTCACAGGGGTTGCAGTTTGGATTCCATGCTGCCTTGCATTTTTTTGCATTTTTTTGTAATTACGCTGCTGAATTTAGTCTGTTTTACCTGCAGACTGACCCAACAACTTTTTAACAGATTAGAAGTTCAAGTGTATAAATATATAAAACCTTAATTTTTGATAGAATTCAATTTGAATGTAAATTATTCTGATCAGTCTGGATGGAAAAATTGCACAGAAATTGATCTTAATTATCATTAGGTGTACGGCACAGCAAACATTCACTTTAGTCTGATAATTGTTTTCCTCCTGGACAATAAGGGGTTTATTTACCAAAGCTGGAGAGTGGAAAATCAGGCTCACTTCTGCATAGAAACCAATCAGCTTCTAGCCTCAGCTTGTTCAATTAAACTTTGGCAATACAACCTGGAAGCTGATTGGTTTCTATGCATCAGTAAATAAACCCCTATATCCATTGACCATACCATTGTACACTGCTCAAAAAAAGTAAAGGAACACTTTGAAAACACATCAGATCTCAATGGGGAATAATATCATGCTGGATATTTATACTAATATGGCATGTGTTAGGAATGTAATGATGCCCCGTTGTTTGATGGAAATGAAAATTATCAACCTACAGAGGACTGAATTTAATGACACCCCAAAATTCAAATTGAAAAAATGATGCAGCAGGCTATTCCATTTTGCTGAAATTTCCTTGCAGCAACTCAAATTGGTACTCAGTAGTATGTATGGCCCTACAATGTCAGGACATGCTCCTAATGAGACAGATGGTGTCCTAGGGTATTTCCCCATTTCTCCCACATCTTGACCAAGGCATCACTGAGCTCATGGACATTCTGAGGTGCAACCTGGTGGCATCAGATGGATCGCAACATGATTTCCCAGAGGTGTTTTATTGGATTTAGGTCAGGCAAGCATGGGGGCCATTCAATGGTATCTATTCCTTCATCCTCCAGGAACTGCCTGCGTACTCTTGCCACATGGTGGCATTGTCATGCACCAGGAAGAACCCAAGACCCACTGTACCAGCATTGGGTCCGACAATGGGTCCAAGGATTTCATCCCGATACCTAATGGCAGTCAGGGTGCCATTGTCTAGCCTGTGGAGATCTGTGCGTCCCTCCATGGATATGTCTCCCCAGACCATCAATGACCCACCACCAAAATGGTCATGCTGAATGATGTTACAGGAAGCATAACGTTGTCCATGCCTTCTCCAGACCCTTTCATGTCTGTTACATGTGCTCAGGGAAAACCTGCTCTAATCTGTGAAAAGCACAGGGCACCAGTGGCGGATCTGCCAATTCTGGTGTTCAATGGCAAATGCCAATCAAGCTCTATGGTGCCAGGCAGTGAGCACAGGGCCCACTACAGGATGTCATGCATGACGTCATGAAGTCTGATTCTGATTTGTCAGAGACATTCACACCAGTGGCTTGCTGGAGGTCATTTTGTAGGGCTCCGGCAGTGCTCATCCTGTTCCTCCTTGCACAAAGGAGTAGATACCTGTCCTACCAATGGGTTAAGGACCTTCTACGGCCCTGCTCAGCTCTCCTAGAGTAACTGCCTGTCTCCTGGAATCTCCTCCCATGTTTTTGAGACTGTGCTGGGAGACACAGAAAACCTTCTGGCAATCGCACGTATTGATGTGCCATCCTGGAGGAGTTAGATTGCTTGTGCAACCTCTGTAGGGTCTAGGTATCGCCTCATGCTACCAGCAGTGACACTGACAGTAGCCAAATGAAAAACTAGTGATAAACAGTAAGAAAATACGGGTAGGGAAACAATGTCAGTGGCCTCCACCTGTAAAACCATTCCTGTTTTGGGGGGTCATCTCATTGTTGCCCTTCTAGAACACCTTTTGTTAATTTCATTAACACCAAAGCAGCTGAATCTGATTAATAACCCCCTCTGCTACTTAACTGACCAGGTCAATATCCCAGGAGTTTAATTGATTTAATGCTATACTCTGATTAAAAAAGTTTTTCTTTAATTTTTTTGAACAGTGTATATAAAAATGTTCTGTATATGGCCACCATTAGTCTCCATTGCAAGATTTTCTTAGACAAATGTAATGACATGTAATGACAATTTAGTGACAAATGTAAGATTTTGTTTTTTTCCATTACCTTCTCTCTGAATGACAATGATCAGAGGACAAACAAGAGTGAATCTCTTTAGCCACATGCCGCCCGATCAGCGGTGTTCCCTGCAGTACACACCCCTGCCCCCTAGTAAAACACTCCCCTCACACAGTTAACCCTTTCCCTGAATAATAAACTTAACCCCTTCCTCCCCAGTGCCATTAGTACAGTGTCAGTGTTTTTTTTTTGCACTGATCACTGTATTGGTGTCACTGGGGATGTCAGTGACCCCAAGTCAGTACCCCCCAATGTCAGAATATCCCAAGCAGTCCCGCAGTCCCGCCATAAATTGCTGATCGCCGCCATAAGTCACTGATCGCCGCCATAAGTCGCTGATCGCCGCCATTATTAGTATAAAAAAACCTAAAAATCCCAGTATCTTTCCCGCCATTTGTAAACGCTATAACTTTCATGTAAACCAATTAATTTACACGTATTGGGTTTTTTTTTTTTAGCAAAGACATGTCGCAGAATGCATTTTGGCAGAAATTTATGACTAA